GCCTTAGCCACTTGAGCCACAGGCACTGAGCCTATAGCCTTTGTATTAACCTGCATGGAAGTGGAGCACATTATTCTTAGTAAAGCATCACAAGAATGAAGAAGCAAGAATCCTATGTACTCAATTTTGATATGAGGACAATTAATGACAATTAAGGACATGGTGGAGGTGGGGGAAGGGGAGAGCAGAGAGAGAAAGAAGGAGGGAGGATGCTCTGGAGGATGCCTAGGGATGCAGGGTCAAGAGGGGAGCCATTTCCCTGGGACTGAGTGGCCAGCAAGCTGTCCCTGAACCCCCACGCCTCCACAGGACTCCTGCCTGAGTATCTTCCCTGGCAGGGAGCCTGGCAGGACCCTCTGCTCCCCTAGTTCTGCTTCCTCTACAGTCAGCTTTGAACCTTCTGCACCCAGGGCTGAGGCCCAGCTCTCCCTCTGCCAATAAAAAAGCTCTCCCAAATAGAGAGAAAGAAGGATGGAGGGGGTGGGGGAAAGGAAGAGCAGAGAGAGGGAAGGAGGGAGGGGGGTGGGGTCTTGGTGTGTGCCACACCTTTGGAGGGCAAGACACTGTTGTAAGAGAGACTTTACCTAACAAATGCAATCAGTGTAACCTGGTTTTTTGTACCCTCAATGAATCTCCAACAATGAAAAAGAGATTACTTTCTACTGTAAGGGAATGATGCTGAGATAACTAGGGTTTAATATTAACTATGGTAGATTGATCATAATCCATTTCCAAACTGAAACCAAGACAAAAAACTAATGTTCACTCTTGCCTAAGTTCCAGAACAATTAGCGGTCTACTCTAACTACATCATTACTCTTTCACAGTGACACGTTGTTTGTCAAATGGCTAATGGAGCTCTGTTGACAAGAGTATATACACTGTGTATACATGTATGTATTTTTAATAAAATCCTTTAGTGCCCTGTCACTTTCTGGATGGTGGTGACAACCTTTGGATGAAAAATTCTGCCCTGCCACACAAATTTATGAGTTCTAACTTCTTTTGGGTCTTTGGTACCAAAGTCAATTCTTCACCAAAAAACTGTGCCCTGGCTAGGCTCAGTGGCTCATGCCTGTAATCCCAGTACTCTAGAGGCCAAGGTGGGTGGATCACCTGATCTGTCACCTCGTCTCTAAAAATAGCTGGGCGTTGTGGTGGGCGCCTGTAGTCCCAGCTACTTGGGAGGCTGAGGCAAGAGAATTGCTTAAACCCAAGAGTTTGAGGCTGCTGTGAGCTGCAACGCCACAGCACTCTACTAAGGGCAACAAAGTGAGACTTTCTCAAAATAAAATAAAATAAATAAAATATTTACTATCTGGTGCTTTAAGAGGAAGTCTGCTGACCCCATCCTAGATGACTGTGTCATACTTTCTCCTTTCTCTTCAATCTTGTGCATATCCTGACTGGCAGCTGATGAGAAAACTGATGGATCAGGAGAGCTTTTGCAGACTCTGCCTCCACCTGCATCTACCCACCTGCTCTGGCTTCCTGATGCTCCCCTATCACTGCAGAGCAGTCTCCCAGCTCCTGCTCAGAGCCAAGCACTCCACCTTCACATGGACCCCACTCTCTGCTGCCCCTTCATGGACAGCGCCTCAGCAAGCCTCCTCCTTTCTTCACACATCGAGCTTTTACCCCAGAGAGACTCACTCCAGTAAGAATGCAAACATACCACTTTGCTGGTCATTTCTAGACTCTCCTTCCCCATCAGCTACTGCTCTATTTCTCTGCTTATCTTTACAAAAAAACTGAGTAGTCAAATGCCTCCAATTTTGCCCCACTCTCCTGTAAATGGTCCTGGTCACCACCATGTCTGCAGTCCTTGCCAACCTCTACTCACTCCACAGCAGCACTGTTGTTTTCAGCATTCCTTTCTCTTTGAACATGTTCTGCCCTTAGAGTCCTTGTTTCCCTCTTATCTTACGATTCTCTTTCTTCATCTCCTTCCCATTTATTTCTTTATGTCCCAGTGATAAGTCTGTTTCTTCCTCTTCTGTCTAAACTTAAACCCTTGAAGATTTCATCTGTTCTCATGGTTTTAAATGTCATCTATGTGGCAGTTACTTCCAAAGTGGTAGGTACCACAGCCTCTTTTTAGAATTCTCCATCTAGTACACCCGTGTAACTCAACAGTCTCAAATAAAGCTCCCAATTGACCTGCACATGGCTGAGGACAGCTCTACTCTTCAGTCATTGCAGGACTCCGCCCTCCAGCACTTTGTTCCCTCCCTGGCTCCCAACCCTAGTCAGCCACCAGGCTTCCTTCCTGTTCTTTAAATATACCAAGCACACCCCTCCTAAGGACCTTGTTTTTAGCTAATGCTTTTACCAAAAACGCTCATATCCAGAGAACTCCCTTCAAGTTTTTGCTCAGATCTGACCTTAGTAAGACTCCCACAGGCTACCCTGTCTATAGTAATACCATAGCCTACACCTCACCCTGGACCCCACCCAGCACCCTGCATCCCTCTGAGCACCTCTGTCGTGCTCTCACTATAGTCCCTGTCCTTTAACACATACTGTTTGTAATCAGCCTCCCCTTGCTAGCATGGAAGCTCCACAAAGGCTGGGATTTTTATTTATAAGTACCTAAAGACAGTGCCTACCACAGAGCTCAACAGGTATCTGCTGAATGAATGAACTGATCACCCCAGTGTCACCAGCTGGGGTGGCTGGGTGGTAGGAGACGGCCATGAATCAGGGTCATCACCCTGTGCTCTGGCTGGTGCGTGTAACTCTGTAACTATACTCTTTAGGCAGTATCAAAACTATGTGAAAGCACATGTATGTCCTCCTCTAGTCCATGAAGTGGTCCACATCTTGTCTACTTGTTAAGCTCCAACACCTTGCATAGACATTTTAAATAATACACCAAATGTGAAAATGCTTGGTAAACAGCAGACATTAAAATGCAGAGTTATCACTGGGCACAGTGGCTCTCGCCTAGTAATCCTAAGCACTCTAGGAGGCTGAGGTGGGTGGACTGCCCGAGCTCAGGTGTTCAGGACCCAGATGTGGTAGAAGCCTGCAGTCCCAGCTACTTGGGAAACTGAGGCAAGAGGGTCACTTGAGTCCAAGAGTTTGAGGTTGCTGTGAGCTATGATGCCACAGCACTCTACCAAGGGTGACAGACTGATACTCTGTCTCGAAAATAAATAAATAGATTCAGCACCCATAGCTCAGTGAGTAGGGTGCCAGCCATATACATGAGGGCTGGCAGGTTCGAGCCCAGCCCGGCCAGGTCTGCTAAACAATGACAACTGCAAGAAAAAAACAACCAGGAGTTGTGGTGGGCGCCTGTAGTCCCAGCTACTTGGGAGGTTGATGCAAGAGAATCGGTTAAGCCCTAGAGTTTGAGGTTGCTGTGAACTGTGATGCCACAGCTCTCTACTGAGGGTGACGAAGTGAGATACTATCTCAAAACAAAAAAGCAAACAAACAAATAAAATAAAAATACAATGCAGAATTATCATAAGTACAAAAGTATCTAATGATTGAATTCAACGACCACCCAAGGTTATTACAGGATGATAATGAATTCATGCAGAAGCCACTGTCATTTTCCTTTATAACTTAAAAACAAAAAACACAATGAAGCAATTGGTTTGAATTCAAGCATACAGTACACCAGTTCTTACCGTTTTGATATTTAAATATAGGTTATAGCTGAATTTAAAATATTCTACCTGCCCATATTATATCTTATGGGATATATATATTAATGATATTTCTAATACTATAATTATCAATGCACATATATAACCTCAGTATTTTGGACTTGTAGATGTCCAGTATATATATATTTTTTACAGGCTTATAATTATTATTATTTTTTTTGAGACAGAGCCTCAAGCTGTCCCCCTGGGTAGAGTGCCGTAGCATCATAGCTCACAGCAACCTCCAACTCCTGGGCTCAAGCGAGTCTTCTGCCTCAGCCTCCCAAGAAGCTGGGACCACAGGCGCCCATCACAACGCCTGGCTATTTTTTTGGTTGTAGCAGTCATTGTTATTTGGCGGGCCCGGGCTGGATTCTAACCTGCCACCTTAGGTGTATGTGGCTGGCACCTTAGCCATCTGAGCCACAGGCGCCGAGCCCAGGCTTATAATTATTAAGAAAAGATAAAATTACTTCTAAAACACTTCTATTCCAAATTACTATAGGGAGGAAGCCATCTTTCCCTTGTCTTGTCCCTTGGGGACAATCACCTATGTATCTAACTTATATCTATGTTTCTAAACCAGAAGACAAAAATATCTTGGCAATTCCCTTAATTATGAAGAATTTTAAAATTTCTTACTTTACCTTTCTTTTACAGCAATTATCACAAGAAACATCTGGGTATTTCTTACAAAAATCAGGATTAAATCCATTTTCACCAAAGTAAGCCAAAAGCTGTATTCTCCGGCATTCTGTTATATTTTCACAGTAATGCACCATGCTATACAAATTATTGAAATGAGTCTCTTTTGTGTGATGATTTCCATCTTTTTCCACTAAAAAAGAGAAAGAGTATAGTAAAACATACTTATTTCAGAGAAAAAAGAGAATATCAGAGAAATATTTAGGGTAGATTCATATAATTTTAAACATTAAGAAAATTATTATTAATAGCATTATGTCAATATGATATCATTCTATATTACAGTCAACTGCAATTTATGTTCATCCTTCAAGATTATAGTGTTAGGCTGATGTGGTAGCTCATGCCTGTAATCCTGGTATTCTGGGAGGCTGAAGTGGGAGGGTTCCCTGAGCTAAGGAGTTTAAGACCAGCCTGAGCAAGAATAAGACCCCATCTCTACTAAACATAGAAAAACTAGCCAGACCTGTAGTATGCATCTGTAGTCTCAGCTACTTGGAAGGTTGAGGCAAGAAGACTGCTTGAACCCAGGAGTTTGAGGTTGCTATGAGCTAAGCTGATGTAACGGCACTCTATCCTAGGGCAACAGAGCAAGACTCTGTCTTAAAAAAAAAAAAGAAAAGAAAATAATTTCATAGGAATTTTTAAATAGGAAAAAAATAATAGATTTTTTTCAAATTGGAAAAAAGTGCCAGGCATGGTGGCTCATGCATGTAATCCTATCACTCTGGAAGGTAGGTGGATTGCTTGAGCTTAAGAGTTTAGACTTGTTTGAGCAAGAGTAAGACCTGTCTCCAGAAAAAATTAAAAAGCTCACTGAGTGTGGTAGCAGATGCCTATGGCCCCAGCTACTCAGGAAGTTAAAGCAGAAGGATCCCTGGAGACCAGGAGTCTGAGTTTGCTGTGAGCTATGATGCTGCGAGCTATGGCAGCCTGGCAATGGAGCAAGAGACTCTGTTTCAACAACAAAAAAAACGAAGGTAAAAAAATTTTTTTCCCCAAATTTTCATTTTCCCCAGTGATTAAGGTTTTATGTTTGTTATATTTACTGCAAAATCATGTACTGAATTGAATGCCCCAAGTAGGCAGAGCATGGGCTCTCCATCTCCCTAATGCCGTTGCATTCGTTTCAGCAGTATCATATCTTTGCAAAGCTGGATTTTTGTTAGTTGCTATGATATAAACATGTATATCAAGAAAACAACATGAGGGTGGTGCCTGTGGCTCAAAGGGGTAGGGCGCTGACCCTATATGCCAGAGGTGATGGGTTCAAACCCAGCCGCAGCCAAAAACTGCAAAAAAAAATAAAATAAAAGTATTCTTTTTTAAGAAAAGAAAACAATATGAAACAGGAAATGAGGGTGGCAGTGCCTAACTTGATTGCAAGGTTTGAGAACAGCAGGTATATATACTTCCCATAGTAAGCAATTGTGTTTACTTAAGAATAAAATAAAAATATCATTTTTCTTCCAGTTTATGAGTATTATTTTTTCCAAACAGTTGCTACATTATTAGGACTTAAATACGTATTAAATTGTTTGGACCTAACACAAATTAGTTTTGTTTAAATACACAAACAGGCAAATAAAGTGTGAAAATTTCATTTTGTTCATTGAGTATCATTTTGGTATACTGTAAGAAACACAAACCTCGGAGTCAGATAAACTTGATTTCCGTCAGGGCTCTGACATTTACTAGTTCTTTTTTTTTTTTTTTGAGACGGAGCCTCAAGCTGTCCTCCTGGGTAGAGTGCCATGACCTCATAGCTCATAGCAACCTCCAACTCCTGGGCTCAAGCGAGTCTCCTGCCTCAGCCTCCCAAGTAGCTGGGACTACAGGCGCCCGCCACAGCGCCTGGCCATTTTTTTTTGGTTGCAGCCATCATTGTTGTTTGGCGGGCCTGGGCTGGGGATTCGAACCCGCCACCTTAGGTGTATGTGGCTGGCGCCTTAGCCAGTTGAGCCACAGGCGCCGAGCCATTTACTAGCTCTTTATCTTGTTTTCCTCCCTCTGTATGGAGGAAAGAAGTAGTCCCATCTTTCAGGGTTGTTGTGAGATTCAATGAGTTGATGTATGTAAGCATTTAGAACAGCATACAGTAAATGCTAAAGAAATGCCCTCTATAATAACCACCATCACTCTATCACTACTCCCACTATTCCCACTGCTCCTGTTGCTACTGCGAATACCAGTGATCTTAGGGACAAACTACAAAGCCTTCGTGAAGCTCACCTCCCTCATGGGAGCACCTCTAGCTGTCCAGACAAACAAGGTGGTGAGGTGGCACATGCAGTGCCTGGCAGAGTGCTCACATGCCATTCCTCATGCTCCGAAAAGTGGTCTCAACATAAATAAATGTATTTAGGAAGTATATTTAACTATCCCCATAACCTAGCACAAAAATGGGCAAACTACATAATAAAATTCTAAAATATGAATTTGTTTTGACTCAGCCAAGTCTAAGTCTAGAACGCCCTATATAAATAATTGTACAGATACCCAAAGATATCTGTACAAAGATGTTCAACACAACACTGTTGATAACCGTTGAGACATATCAATGAACAATCTAAGATCTATTAGGTGGGAATTAGTTTAATAGATGCACAATGACCATACTATGGAATTCTACACTACCATTAGTCAAGCTCTGCACATTAACTAAAGTGATAATTATATCCTAGTGCTGACTAGAGGATCAGGTTACTGTAGATGTATAAAAGTATGTGTAGTATGATCTCAGTTACATTTTAAAATATATCCACTTGGGCAAGGTAAACACCAAATACAAGCTATTGCCTCCCTCTAATGGGGCAGAATAGGGATGAAGAAGGAGAGGGACATATAGAGAGTTTCTTAAAACTGGAGGGTTTTAAAATAGGTTGCATGTAAGAATGAGGTCTGAAAGGATACAGAGGAAACAGTAAGAGGAGTTACTTCTTAGGGTAAAAGTATAAGAAATGGTTTGTAAATTTTTTTTTTTTTTTGAGACAGAGCCTCAAGCTGTCCCCCTGGGTAGAGTGCTGTGGCATTACAGCTCACAACAATCTCTAACTCCTGGGTTCAAGTGAGTCTTCTGCCTCCGCCTCCTAAGTAGCTGGGATCACAGGCACCTGCCACAATGCCTGGCTATTTTTGGATTGCAGCCGTTATTGTTGTTTGGCGGGCCTGGGCTGGATTCGAACCCACCACCTTAGGTGTATGTGGCTGATGCCTTAGCTGCTTGAGCCACAGGCGCCGAGCCATGGTTTGTAAATTTTCTGGCTTGTACTGTACCATTTGAATTTTAAGTAACAGCATTTACCACTTTTATGGTAAAAAAACTAAAATAAAATTTCCAGTCTATGTAACTTCCAGCTTAGTTCTTTTCTTTTCTTTCTTTCTTTTTTTTTTTTTTTGAGACAGATCCTCAAGCTATCCCCTTGGGTAAAGTGCCATGGCATCACAGCTCACAGCAACCTCCAACTCCTGGGCTCAAGCGAGTCTCCTGCCTCAGCCTCCCAAGTAGCTAGGACTACAGGCGCCCGCCACA